GATTGACAGAGTGGCTGATTTTTTTATTATTATTATTTTAGGGAGAAAAGCTGGAGTTGGGAAGAGACTCCAAGACTTATTCCCAGGCCTGGTAACCGTACACTGTGTGGCACATCGACTCAATCTGGCAGTGTCAGACTGCATTAAGGGGCAGAGGGCAGTTCAATACCTCACCAAATATGCCAGGACTGTTGGAACCATCTTCTGGTTCTACCAGGCCTCTAGTAATAGGACCAGCAGTCTCAAGGACATGGAGAGGCTTTTTGAAATCCCCCAAATCAAACTGCAGGTTAGCAAAATTCAGTGCTAGATTATTCAGATCCATTTTTGCTTTTTTGTCATTTACTAATTAATATTTTGTAGGGAGGAAATGCTACAAGATGGGAATCGAATAAGGAGGCAACAGATGTGATGCGCCGAATTCTGCCTGCTCTCATCGCGGACCTCTCACTCCAAGCCCGGAATGAGCCAACCGCAGAAGGACTGTACAACTTTGTAAAGGACAAGTTCTTCCCCCCTGCCCTCTGTCTAATGCAACTTGTGCATGAAAAGATCCACCGGCAGTTTTTGGTTTTTCAAAAGAGAAACCTTTTTTTCTCTCAGGTGGAGCAGGAGGTATGAGATCAATATCATAGTACTTGAGCTTCCTGTTAATTGAAATGTTACTAGCTGAGCTGTTGTGTTTTATCTCAGGTCACAGTGCTGAAAGCATCACTGGCACAGCTGATGGAGAGCAACATGGTCAAAGACCGCTGGCAGGCATGGCTGCAGTCTGATGTGGGTCTGAAGCCTCTGCAGGAAGAGATCCCTGCATATTTCCAAGCTGATGTGTGGGAGAGCTTCAAGAACACTGTATGTATTAGGAATGTATTTGAGTCATGTAGACATAAGAACTGTTTATATGTTTTCTTTTATTCTTCTACAGGTGATGGTGCCATTTCTAACTGCACTGACTGAGAACATTGACAACAGATTCCCAAACACTGGCAGTTTGTCCGTCTTCAGTGTGTTTTCTCCCAGACAAATTTTGGCAAACTTAGGTGCAGAGTATGGGGATGCTGAGATGAGGACACTGGCTGAGCAGTTTCCAAGACTGAGGGAGTGTGACCTCTTGTCTGAGTGGAGCTCATACAGACTGAGAGTGGGGAGTCCTGATCTGAAGGTACTACATTATTAAGTTACATTGACTGTATCAGCACCATATCAGTCTGGTTTCACTGAATAATCTGATCTTTGTTTTCACTCTGCCTTTATTCAGACCAAGTCTCTGGAAGAGGTGCTTCTGTGGCTTGTGTCTGCAGAATCTACTGAGCTGTACCCCACCCTGAGCCTTGCAGCTGCTATCGCCCTCACAGCCCCTGTCCAGACTGCAGATGTGGAGAGGCTCTTCTCTGCACTCAAAATTGTAATATATGATTGAAAACACTATCACTCTTTATGTCTGTATCAGAATAAATACAAAAATACTTATTGCATGAATTGTTTTGTTGAAGGTAAAGACACCTTTGTGCAACAGACTGAAGGAGAGGCACTTGGATGTCTGTTGCAAGGTGGCCATCGATGGACCAGACCAGGAGGCCTTGGACTACCAGGAGTGCATGAGGAGGTTCTATAAGATGAAAAATAGAAGGCTGAAATGTTCTCTGTCTGGTTGTGAGATGTGTAGATAAATCCCCCACAACTTAGAGCACATTCAGTTTAAAGTAGGAACCTTATTTTTGTATGTATATCGTTTAATAAATGAATGCTTTAACATGATAATTGTCACGTTCTTATTAGTACTAGGGGTGCACCGATCCGACTTTTTCAGTTCCGATACAGGTACAGGTTCCTGGCCTTTGTGTATCTGCCGATACCCAATACCAATCTGATACTACTGGTGAATTAATCAGCTTGCACCTTTTACCTTTCTTGAAGAGACTAAAGGCA